GGCATATTAACTAAAATTAAAAAAAGTAAATATGTGCCATTTCTCACACCAATAGCACTAGTAGCGGTAGATAGGATTCAATGTCTTCAAAACTAAGACCCTAATTCTAATTTTTATAGAACTGATCCTCCATTCTCCAAATTTCCCCTTGTTCAAAAAGGAAGATATGTACCGTTTTTCAAAGTTGCAAACACCACTACATCACCACTCGTACACATATAAGCATATAAATACATACATTAGCACTTTTGGTACCATTAACACTTGGTAAAATCAAGTTATTTCTATATCAAGCACACTTGTCTGCAATAGAAGTAACATTTACAGCCTCATATAAATAAATTATGAAAAAGTAAGTATAAATTTGTATTATAAAGAATTAAAAAAATTTTAAAATTATATCATTATAATAAAATCTCATTTAATAGAATTTTATTAAAAAATTAAAATATACTAATTTAAAAAAGTAAAATTATTTTAATTTTTTATAATATTTTATTAAATTAACATAATTTTAAAATATATATTTTTAATTTTTTACAATACAAGTAATTAATATCGACTAATCTTTATTATAGTATAAGCTGATTTTAAATTGGAGGATTAGTCCTGCCATTTCACTGCTTGGAACTGAACCTTTTCCTGACAACAACTTTAAACCCACCTGCCATATGAGCCGTCAAGAGGGGCACGAAAACAGGCCGGTCCTCACAAACTGGTCTGATCTCGAATCGACTAATTACCGAAGCCACCACGTACTTCATCTGAATAAATGCCATCTCCTTCCCCAGACACACTCTAGGACCTGCCTGAAACACCGGAAATTTGTACGGAATCACCCCCTTCATCACCATCCTTTCCCCCCGCGCTCCCGGTTCTTCCAACCACCGCTCCGGTTTGAACTCCAAATGGTCTTTCCCCCACAGCTCCTCCATTCTCCCCATCCCATATGGGAAATACGTCACCCTATCACCTTTCCATACCTGAGTTCCGTCAGGTAACACATCGTCATTCACCGCGTGCTTCGAGTCCCACGCTACCGGAGGGTAAAGCCGCATGGACTCACACAAACATGCTTTCATAAAATTCATCTCCTTCAGTACTTGGTAGTCCAACTGTTTTTCACCATCATGAAGCAAGGATGCTACTTCTTTCATTATCAGGCTCTCTGCATTCTGATGTTCAGAGAGCAACCAGAAGAGCCAGGTCATAGCCGCCGAGGTAGTGTCCCGTCCTGCTATGATGAAGCTTATCGCCATATCTCTTACTAACTCCTCGTTATGTCCTGCTAATAACAATCTCGTCAGAAGATCACCGCCGTCGCTTCTTTCTTTTCCGTTGTTCTCTTCGAGATCTCTTCTTTTGTTTCGCACAATATCTAAAACACAACCACGAACGAGTTCAACCGCTTCCTTGAGTTTGTTCTCCGATCCAATATTCAAAGCTCGTTTTATCTTCCAGACTAGAAAAACCGGTGCCATTCCACGCTTGGCGCTTATCTCCGACGCGATATCAAAGGCCTTAACAAGCGGTGGCACTGGCCGTGAAAGATCCAAACAACAAGGATCCGTCCCCAACGACACCTTACACACAATATCGAAGGCGAATCTCCTTAAAACTTCTTGAAGATCTAGAATTTTTTCTCTCTTCACAGCCTCCTCGAGCACGGGTATCAGTCGGTTCTCTACTTCTCCTTGGAGAGTCTTCACGACGAAGTCTCTCAACGACTTGGTGCTGAACTCATGGCTGGCAAACTTCCTTTGTATGCTCCACGACTCGCCATCCACGTTAAATATTCCGCAACCAAGAAGGTCACCCAGAATCTCAGTGAACGGCTTGCCCTTGGGGAAGTTGTTGAAGTTGGCCTTCAGCACGTGCTCGACGTTGGCCGGGTTGGCTGTGACCACAGTTCGTCGCGCTCCGAGACGGTTCACCACGATTGTCTGGGACGGGGACTGGGATAACAGGTCGGTGTACCAGTCCAAAAGACGGTAGCGGTTTCTGTAGAAAGAGAAGAGACAGCCAATGAAAGGATAAGAAGGAGGGGAATGAGTGGAGGATGGCTGCTTGGATTTAAAATACCTGAATTCCAGAACAAGCAAGTAAAGAAAGAAGAAAAGGAGAATCCCCAGAGAGGAGAAGAGAAGAAAGAAGAACATGGTTAGGCAATTGTGGGTAATGATTTTGGGGCAGTGGAAGAAACGGAGATGGAGAATAAATCAAGGGTGAATTTGGTGCAAGAAGCGGAGGAGTATATATAAACATTAATGTGTGGAGGAGAATGGTGTATTTTTAAGGTTTTCAAAGGAAGAGCCAAAGTCGAAAGAGCACGTGGCTCTAAGCTTGAAATGGAAAAAATTGCGGCGAGGGTATAGAGATAATTTTGAGTCCTGTTACCTCATATTAAGAATTATTATTCCAAAGAGGTAAAATATAGGTCGCATTGCACTTCATTTAAATATTAATAGAGAAAGTGTCCAACCTTGGCCACCCCTTGAATGGGCTGGTCCAGATCCCAGGCTCTATTCTCCTTTCCTGCACTTTTTTTTTTGTTTAAAAAAAATAAAAAAAAAATATTAATAGAGAAAGTGAATTTTTTATTTATAAGAGTTTAACTTTTTATTAATAATTAAAAATAACATAAAATAAATTACGTTGCAGTATTTATTAATTTATTATTAAGCTTACGAACAGCAGCAAATATATCTAAAATACACAAAATCGTTAATCTACCTTAAACTGGAACATGATATTAATCTTAAATTTTTGTCCTCACGAAATAAAATCAACATTTATTATAAAAATATTATATTTATAATATCACATGTTATTATAAATTTATAATATAATATATCATTATATAATTAATTTTTTATTTAAAATTTATTTATAATATTATATATATTAACTTATTTAATATAATATTATGATTATAAATTTATAATTTTGTATAATATTATAATTATATCATTACTATATTTATTAATAAAAAAAAACCTAACATGGTCTTTGACCCATCCTTACAAGGATTAATTGAGGCTTATTTCCTTCGCTTTTAGGTACTAAACTCCTTGTTATTGGGAAGTTGCATGGATTTTAATTAAATTTGAACTTGAGTTAAATTAAACTTTCTAAAAAAAACTCTTTTAATATTTATTTTTTATTTATAAATTTTAAATTTAAAATCTTATTTAAAAAAAATTAAATTCTTTCCGTCAAATATTTTGCTTTTAACTTTTGTTGACCTAGTTCTCTTCCATTCCATCCTAATGTATTAAAAAAAAAAAAAAAAAAAAAAAAAAGAAAGAAGGAGGATGGAAAGAAAGATAGCCTAACATGGACTCCATTTAAAGCTTAAAGTACTTTCATACATGGGGCTATATAAATTAAAAGAAAAAACGCCTGCTTTCCATATCCACATTGACTTTTAACGTCAGTTCAAAAAAAAAATCCACATTTAACTCTTTATTTTATTTTATCCACATTTGACTTATTTGCTGTTATTTATAAGTTTAAGATTAAATGTTAATTTTAATTTTTAAATTTTAAATTTCTACCTAATTTTTATTTTTTATAATTTTTTTTATAATTTTTTGATCCTTTAATTATAAAAAAATGTATATTTTTAGGTTTTTATCAATTAATCTGTTAAATATATTTAAAATATGTGTATTTTTAATCTTTAAACTTTTAAGTTGAAAAATAAAAATATATATTATAAATTAAGGGACTAACAATATACATATTTAAATAAATTTAATAATTATTAATAAAAAAATTTTAAAAATATATTTTTTATAATTGAGAAATTAAAAAGTGAGTTAAAAATTAAAAAACGAAAATTATACAAAACCCCTTCCATGGCATATGTTAACTTGCCACATACGCAATTCTTTGAAGAAAATACAATATATGGAAAAAAAGAATGGACTATTTTATTGATGAGTGAGGCTTAATTTAGTAAACCATCTATTGACTATTGATCATTTTTCATTTTAATCTATAATCTCTATTTTCTTTTGAAATCATCCACTAACTATCAAAATTATTTCAATTTAGTCTAATTCAACACAATGTAGTTAGTTTTAGTAACAAAATTCCATATCTTTAATTGTGTGGCACCACATAAACTACCATGTAAGCAGCCATGTAGCTTGAAAAGGGAGGCAAATTTGCTTCAAAATTTTCCACCATATAAAGTATTTGTTTCAAAAATTTTCTAACATTTAAAGTAATTTTTTATATTACAATGTAGCCCTAAAGAAACAACGAGAAATTTTCTCCCATTTTCAAGCCATGTGGCACCATACAATTAAAAATCTAGAATTCCATCCATTCAATTAACAGAATTGTGTTGGACTAAAGAAAATTAAAACAAATTTAAAAGTTAATAAATAATTTTGAAAAAAAAAAGATTATAAACTAAAATGAAAAGAGATCAATAATTAATAGACTATTTATTATATTAAGTTGATGAGTAATGATTCCTGAAACTATATCTTAGGATAAAATTTTTTCCACCACTGATCATGTAGATCTGTATAAGACTCACACCATAATCATATAGTTACCATAAATTTATCATAAATTTTTTATCCTTAAAATTGGCTAAAACTATCATTATCTTTACTTATTCACCATATTTTGACTCCAAATTATATATTGTGAAATCACAAATCTTAATTTTAAATTTTATTATTCAAATAATTTAATTTTTTGTCAATTTATTTTAAAAAAACCAAAAATTCTTCATCTTCTTCATCCCTCCTCTTCCTCTTTCTGTCTGCTTCTTTATCTCTTTTGTTTTGAAGGAAGAGAAGCCAAGTCTAATTAAGTTTTCCAAGAGAACTCATTCTGTAGGTTTCTCCTCGTTCCTCTTAGTTGGCTCTCACATAAAGAAATGAAGTAGAGAAGAGGAAAGGGGGACGGACGAAACAGAAAGATGGAAGAAGATGACAATGAATTTCTACAAATTCCTTAAATTTTGTCCAACTTTTTACCATTTCATGCGTAGTTTTCCATTCTTGCTAAGAAAATTGGGGGATGGAAAGAAAATTTCATTCATGAATTCCTATTTGCTTGTTGATTAGAATTTTAAAAATTCAAAATGTTTGCTGGTAAAGATGATGAGTAGTCAGTGACGATGATGAGCAACTTAAAAGAAGTAGGGGGCGGAGAAGGAGAAGGAGAAGAAACATAATTTTCATAAAAAAAGAATTTAAACTTATGAGTTAAGATTGGTTAATTACATGATTATATAGGTTTCAATTTTTTTATCAAAACTACAAAATTTATTAATAATAAACTTGATTATGAGTTAAGATTGGTCAATTACTTGATTGTATTTTAATTGAAAAATTATCTCTTCTAAAGTGGTTATTTCTTTCTTTCTTTTTTCTTTTTCTTTTAATTTTGGGTTGCTAACTAAGAGACGGTCATATCTGTTATCTCTTAATCTCCCTTATTTATGTACCTAAAGCTCAAAATTAAAATTTATTACTTTTACTAAATGAAGATTATTATTAAATCTTTTAACAATTCTTTTTTTTTTTTTTTGTGTGCGCATTTCATTTGAAGGAATTAGGATCCACTTATATAATATTATTTATACAAAATCTCAATAATTTATCTTTTCTATTATAAATAGTTGAGATTTATCATAGTTTTTTAGATAAAAATAATAATTATCTTTAAAAAATAAAATAAACAATAAATGAATTTCAACCATTTATAGTGAAGAGATAAATTTTTGAGATTTTGTATAAATAATATATGTAAGAGTTATGTGTAAATGCATCCTAACTCTTTATGAAGATATTAATTATTGTTGGCTATTGTCACATCATATTTTATAATTTAAAAGAACATTAGATTTCTATGTATATATAAATAAAGTAGAAGTCCATTTACATACAAATATTATATATTATATATTATATTTACATAAAATCTTAATCATTCATCTCTTCGCTTTTAATAATTGAAAATAAACAAATCTCAATTATGAATGGTCAATATTTTGTGTAAATATGATGTATAAATTTTATATGTAAGTTGATCTCTACTCATATATATATATATATATATAAGAAAAGTGCTTGTCAATCAAATCTCTAAAAAGTTTACTAGAAAAAAAGTTCTAAAACTATTTTGTTTTAATAAGTTTCCATTGAAAAAAACTAAAATAACTTACTTTTAAATCAGGAATGAGATTCTTTTGGTCTTTTTCTATGATGGTTTAATGAAATGACCTAAGTTTAGATTGTGTAAATGGAACTTCTCAAAGAAGATTGGTGCAGTAGCTAATGGGGACGAAAATGCAATAATCCAAAGAATTGAAGTAATGAAGGTTACAGACAACCATACCAAGAGGATACAAGAGGAGGAGGCTTCTCTTATAGGGTAGGTATATCATCTTATCACAAAATGATTTTGCTCATATGGAATGTTGGAGGTCTAGGTGGTGGGGGAAAATATAAAGAGATGAGGGATGTGCTCTATAAGGAATTGTTGGAGTTTGCTGCAATTCAAGAAACCAAATTAGAGATGGTTGATAGGTGAATATGCAAAGTTATCTGGGGTTATGACAATTTTGATTGGGTTACAAAAGCCTCTAATGGCAAATTTGGAGGTTTGATTTGCGTTTGGAACATTGGTGTATTTAAAAAACACAATGTTATTAAAGGGAATAATTTTTGGAAGTTTTTGGATTTTGGGGTAATGGATCAATTTTGGTATACATTATCAATGTTTATTCTCCTTGTGATTTAGCTGAGAAAAAAGTACTTTGGATAGATCTCAAAAATGTGGCATTGTCAACAAAAGGGAATAGGTGCTTATTAGGAGATTTTAATGTAATAAGGAATATTCATGAATGAAAAGGTAGCAAGGTAAAATGCACTGAGATGAGAAACTTCAATGACTTCATTAGGAAAATAGAGTTGGTGGATTTACCACTTATAGGTCATAAAAACACATGGTATATAGCTAATGGGGATTCCATGAGTAGAATTGACAAAGGACTTTTCTCCAAAGAATAGATTCTTAATTGGCCAAACTTAAAGCAGTGGGGTCTCTCTTGCTCTTGCTTTGATCATTGTCCTATTCTATTTAAGACTCCTTCTCTAGATTGGGGTCCTAAACCCTTTAAATTCTATGATGCATGGTTAGAGGCTCCAAGGTTTCATGAACTAGTAAAGGAAGCATGGAGTTCCATTGAAGTGGAAGGGC